TTACTTCTCAGGGCTGCTGGTCTCCTGCAGCTCTCTCCTGCCTACATTCACTCCAGTGATGGCTGCATTGCATTTCTCAAGGAGGGTTTCCAACAGTGGTCAATGCCTGTATCATGTTGTCACCACAACGGAATGAAGCCTCCAGTGGTAGTGTATGTGACAGGGTGACAACATTGAAAACCCAACTGGAAATGAGACTTGTCACCCAATAACAGGAAGTGCTTGATTAAATGGCAATACAAACCCCGACAGCTCTTGCTTTTACCCCTTGGAGAGATTTCCTTTGTCTTCTTGCCCTGATATGAAGCGAGGGGAATCTCTCCAATAGGAACACAGGTAGCAATAACCTTCTCCACTACCGAAAACATAATGAAAGTTTTTGTCTGAAGCCAGAGGCCAGAAGCAGCAAAAGGAAAGTTTTTCTGAACATCTGTACCAAGGGCGGACTGACAACTCATGGGGCCCCCGGGCAATAGGGGATCATGTGGCCCCTGTGTCCTTGCGAAAACTCAAAAAAGCCTATGAAAAAAGGTACCAGGGGCATCTCATGGGGCCCCCTACTGACCCCGGGCCCTCGGGCAGCGCCCGAGTTTCCAAATGGTCAGTCCGCCCCTGACCTGTACTACCAGTAATAAAAGTAAAATCAAATGTCCATGTACTTATAAGAGCACTCTACATATGGCAAGGATAAATGGTCAAGCAAAGCCCTGGCCAGGGAAGCACTATGGCAGATACAGTTCTGTATGAAATCTGACTTGCTTATAAAAACCCTGAGAAGGGACTCCTAAAGTGCATCTAAACCCAAACCCCCCCCCCCAAAAAAAATGTTATGCATTGCATTTTGCCAGTTCTTAGGTGTGATTTTCGTATGGAAAATCGGTCGAATTTCAACCCATGTATGGCCAGCCTAAGAATAATCGGGCGATTTTAGCTCTGTTAGTGGGTCAATGGCACCGGCTAATTTTTGTGTTCCTCCCCTTTTCGGTGATCAAGCATGTTGGAAAATCGTGAAAAACAACCGATTTTCAACTCAATGATGGTCAAATCGTACAATCGTTTTTCCGAAAAGAATATGCGTATGAGCTGTGACCTGGAAGGAACAGAAGTCTCGCCTGTTATATGAGGTAAACTTTGTGACTTGGTTGGACGGTTTTCGAAATCAATGATGGCACCATCGGATTACCGAACGAATGACGTTTTCGATTTTCGGATGAAAAATTGTTCAGAATTCGAACCATGTATGGCCTGCATTAAATGTGGTGGCTGCATTGTTTCTCTATTGAAGATCCTGTTTGTAGCGCACTTTCTGTCCTAGGGCGACAATGCTCACTCACTGTACTGTACATATGGAGAAGAGCTGTCAGTTACAACAGGATCAGAATTAAAGAACACACCTCCCCTCCCTTCCATAACAAATCGGCAAGGTTCTGTAGTACTTACAGTGGGTAAGGAAAGGAATCACTCCTCTTTAAAAAAAAATAATAATTATGTTGCTTTTGCATCCTGAAATGAAGACAAAGACAGTTTTTTTTTTATCCAGTTGTATTTACTCAATGCAATTTATAACATCCAAGTGAAAGATATAACGCCAACATGTCAGAAAAAAAATATAAAAAAATTCAAAAACAGAATCACAGAGTTGGAAAAAGGATCACCCCCTCCTAAAAATGACTTGTAACACTCAATAAGGTGTAGTTAATCACCTTCTCAATGGCACGCAAAGCCATTTCACTCTCAGTTGTGATCAGATGTGGTCATTTATATTAGCTCAGCATAAAGAGAAATCTTTCCTGGAGCATTTCAGTCCCTGGCAGTGCAACAGAAGCAAACAGTCAACTATGGGTGGCAAGGCACTGTCAACAGATCTCCAGGATAAAGTTGTGGGCAGGCATAAATCAGGACATGGATACAAAAAAAATTTCAAATGCTTTATCAATGCCTAGAAGCACAATGACAACCATTATTAACCCCTTCCCGCCGATGCCTCCCGGCCCTTTAAGAGATTCAGACGCCGGGAGGCGGGGCGGTTGGGGCGTGGCTTAGGAATCACGTGACCGCCGTGATGGCGCGTCACATGATCGGGAAAGGTCCCGTTCGAAAGAGCGGACCGGGACCTTTCCGTGAGTACCACACATGTGTGCTGGGAGCGCGCAGGGCGCGCGCTCTCAGCACATATGTATTTAGTTACATGGACGCAAATGTGCGGCCGCTCGGCGTCTAGGCCCAGATGCCGGGAGGCCGCACATTGGTGTGCGGCCGGCGCAAAGGGGTTAAGAAGTGGAAGTTATTTGGTACAACACTGACCCTCCATGGATCAGGATATCGCCCCAAACTGGATGAGAGAGCCAGGAGGTAAATGGTCACAGAGGATACCAAGAGGCCTACAGCAACTCTGAAGCAGTTGCAGGAATTGCATTGTGTGCATGTCACAAAAATATCACAAATTCTCCACAAATGTGATTTGTATGCAGGGTGGAAAAAAAAACAAAAAAAAAAAACGGATTTTTTTTATTTAAATCAGATTTTTTTGAATAAAATGCTATTTGAGGAAAATATATTACCATCCAAAGGTTATTCCATCATGAAATAAAGATTAGTTTTTTAATTATGTAGAATAAGGCTGTATATATTTAATTTTTTTGGTAAATAAATTCCATGAATCCATTCACAATGTCATGCTCTTCCAGAGGTTGTTGTAAGATTATTGGGCAGTTTCTCTGCCTACAAGATATTATCACAGATGATTGGTTTACTTTTGCAGTTCTCAAAACTGAATTTGACTCGGCGGAGATCACATGCCCTCTTCTTCACAGCAAAAATGTTATAACATGAACAGAGTTAAGAAAAAGACCTTCATCCTAACTTCTACAAACCTATGAATACAGAATCAACCCCTTCACTGCTAAGTTTCAAGAAGTTCAGTGAATAGAATAGAAACAATATTTTTCTGATTGTTTGGAGTGGAATAGATCTGCACAAGAAGAAAGTGAAACTAAGTGTGAGGAGGAAGGGGCTGACAGTCTAAGTTTCTTAAAATATATAGATTTTGTTTAGCCAAATTAGTTACCAAACATGGATGTTTAAGCAAATCACATCTGCTGGAATGTTATTGTTTCAGTTGAATAAATCTATTTAAATTGTTATTATTAAGGTAATGATTATTTTTCTCCTTCCTAAGTACAACAGAAAAGTTGTCCAAATATGAATGATTAACCTATTAAACTGGGGATAAAAAAACTAATATGAAAAGTTGTTATTCTAAAAATCTTCATCTACTTGTATATTAAAGTTATACCAGCAAGAATTAGTCTTTATGTAGAAAACTAGGATTTAAAATCAAGCCTTACTGACTAGTGGGATTTAAATCAGTTTGATTTAAATCAAATCCACCCTGCTTGTATGGGAGGGTTGCAAGAAAAAAGCCGCTCCTCAAGAAAGGCCACGTACAGTCACCAACTTTGCCAAAATGCACATTGAAAATTCTGAGGCCACGTGGAATTTTGAATGATTTGACCTCAACACTAAATGATATGTGTGGCGGAAATCCAATCCAGCTCCCCATCCAAATACCACCATTCCTACAGTACACCATGGAGGGGGAATATCCTGTTATGGGGGGTTCTCTGCTGAAGGGACTGGAGCACTTGTCAGGATAGAAGGAAAAATGGATGGACGGGGCAAAATAATGTCAAATTCTTGAGAAAAATCTACTGTTCTCTGCCAGAAAGTTGTCAATGGGAAGAAGGTTTACATGACAATGACCCAAAGCACACAGCAACAATGACCACACAGAGGATGGAATTGAAAAAGGTGAATGTCCTTGCATGGCCTAGTTAGAGCCCAGACTTAAACCCCATGAAAAATCTGTGGAATGACTTGAAGACTGCAGTCCACAAACAGTCACCATCAAATTATTATTATTATACAGGACTGATATAGCGCCAACAGTTTGCTCAGCATTTTACAATACAAATATAACTGAACTCGAGCAATTCTGCAAAGAAGAGTGTAAAAATACTGCAAAGTTTAGATGTGCAAAGTTAGCAGAGACATATCCCAACGCACTAAAGGCTGGAATTAAAGCAAAAGGTGGTTCAACGAAATACTGACACCAGGGGGTGATCCTTTTTCCAACTCAGTGATTCTGTTTTTGACATTTTTTTTATCTTTTTCTGACATGTTGGTTATATCTTTCACTTGGATGTTATAAGTTGAACTGAGTAAATACATCTGGATAAAGCAAAGACTGTCTGTCTTCATTTCAGGCTGCAAAGCAACAAAATGTGATTATCTTAAAGGGGAATCTTTCTTTTCTATACCCATTGTAGTTTGTAATAATGCGAAATGATAACTTTCTGTATTCTGTTTCTTCTGTTAATAGCTTGCTGAATTTCTGGCAGGATCAACAGGTCTTTTTTTTTGTACCTATCGAACAGATCAAATTGAATACTTTCAATGGTATATTTATAGAACCAAACCGGTGCCTATAGGAAGTTAATTGTTGCAGTTTACACGCACTTTACAAACACACATCAATCTGTAAAGCTTTGTGAGGAATCAGCAGAAAATGGAGCTCATGATTTTAGCAACAGGGATTCATTTGGCTTTTTTTTTTTTTTTTTTTTTTTTTTTAATTGCACAAAATAATTTATGATCAAACATATTACAGCAATACTTGTGCGGTCTCCACAGCATTTTTGGGAGAGATATATAACACAGCAAGAGTATATGGTGCACTTGGGACCATCATGGCCCCAGACGATGCCCCAGAGGGTTCTGGGACATGAGAAGCAGCACCAATCCAGCCTCTTCTTCTGAACTCTGTTCCTTCCTCGGAAACCTTTTCATTGGCCATTCAGAGCATTGTAATTAACTTCATGATAACCAGGCAACTAATCGCAGCCTTGACATGCTCATTCTCCTTACTATTTCTGACATTTTTGTTGATTTTATTCTCTTTCAAGTGCAAATGCCAATAATCGGGAAACAACCTGCCACGCTTAACTGATGATCCTGCTGATGGCTTGGAGTGATGGGAAGTCTTTATCCTCTAGATGCAATGTTTTGTGATGGGCAACGTCCCGGGGAGCCAGCACCTGTCTGCAGGTGGGGCACACAGAGTAGTCCAGGTCGGGCACCCTGAAGTCTGTATTCCAGGCAGACTTCTTGTTCTTCTTAGTCTTGTTGGAAGTTTGTTTTTCTTGCACTCGGAGGTCTTGGTGAGCGGCCAGCAGTTCCTGCTGCTTGGCATTATCAGGAAGCAGAACCAGCAACTCATTGAAGATTAGACTGAAGTTGTCACCAAGAAGTTTTCTGCAGTTTTTATAATATTCTGAGGCTGAAATCAACCCCTAGAAAAACAAAAAACAAATAAATATATATTAAAAAATAAAAGAAAAAATACCTAGATCAAGGTTTGATCTAGTTCAGTGCCAGGGTAAGTGTTTGGGTCAAAGGTCAGGATTTTTTTTTTTAATTGGTATTAGTGTCAGTGTGTTTTAGGTAAAAAAAAAAAAAGCGCACTATTGTTTCTGGGCTGTACTACGGGTACAAACAACAAATAACATACACAGATATGGGATTGCTGTGATCGTCAAAATGTATTTTGGGTTGCTGTTTGGTGGTAGGTTATGGTAGTAACAAGAAACACAGTTAAATTTAAAAAAAAAAGATTTTTTTTTTTTTTTTTTTTAATATTCTGGGCCAGTTTTCCTTTCATAATAAAAACAAAAATCAGGAGATATCCATTACCATTTACCACCAAATGAAAGCCCAATTTTTCCTGAAAAAAATGCAGTATAATCCACCTGGATGTACAAAGTAGTTGTGATGATATGTACGGTTTTGCTAACACGTGTCAACGTTGCAAAATTGTGCTTATGCATTAAGATTTGTTTTACTCTTAGGCGTGAAGGGGTTAATGTGCAGATCTCTGCATTGATTGGCTGGAAAGGAATAGGGGATTGGTATTGTGTGGCTACAGAGGCACCATGGTTAAGTGTTTTTTTTACAGGGATCAAGCTCTCTCTCTTCCCACTGCAGGCTGTCAATGACAAGACTAGACAGAGGCTGCAGCCGGCTGTTAGTAAACCTTCGCTATTCCGCTGGAAGAGGAGTCTGAGGACACAGCTAAAAATGTTCAATGAAATGTAATTACAAAAGTTAAAAGGAGGAAGTTCCTTAGAGTAGACTAAAAGTATAACCAAAGCTTTTCTGGCTATTCTATGGATCACAGGAGTGCAGTTCGATCTGCACTCCTGTAACCCGATTTCAGCTGAAAGTGGATTACAGCCCGTTGTTGGCTGATGTCACAGGCTCTGGAAAGATCCTGACCCTATGGTCAGAATCCACCCAGAAGCCTGGAGCGGCAGCTGGCTCAGCCTATCAGCTGCACCAATGGGAGACTGAGTCAGCCCCCCCCCCCCCCCACTCCCTAGCCTGGCGCTCCAGTGAATGCTGGAGGGGCAGAGCAGAGAGCTTGTGACTCAACTGTCATGGCTCTCTGCACTGCTCAATCCCATACTTCTCTTTTACCAGGGTTTTGTGGAAAGCACACTTGTTCTTAAACTCTTGTTTGAATGGAGGGGATTGAAACTCCTGTCAGGGGCTCCATCAGAGATATTTCCATTCACTGTCACAGTGACAACCGTTTGACCAGACAGAAAGTGAGGAAAACGGCCAACAGCTACACAGAAATACAAATGCTAGATAGAACCTAGGTCAGATTTGTATTGCCATATGCGATTTGCTGCAGATTTTTTATTTTACTTCCTCTCTGACGTACCCCCTTGGGCCCCCCCCCTCAACCCCGAGACCCCAGGCCAGGAAGAACATGAGGGGCAGGAGGGGTTTGTGTGGCAGCCAACAGGCTCCTACCTTGCTGCTCGGACAGATCTGCCTCCATTCTGGCCGCATCCCGCCATCAGTGCGGCCGTCTTTGAAGGGTGGTGGGGCTCCACCCCCTCCCTTGGGTCCGGGTTCGCCGACCGCCCCTCACGGCTGCTAATGGACAGAGTGGCCGTGGCATGGGGCAAATTTGCGGCCTGCCACCCATATCCAAGATGGCGGCGGTCCGCTTCCTGTTCCTTGAGTGCCGGAAGTGACCTCGCAGGTCCAAGCACCAAGAAATGATGCGGGCGTGAAGTCACCGACCCGCACCTCCTCGTTCTCCTATGGAGATGTCGGCATGCAGCGGGTAGCAGCCCTTCCAATCATGTCAGCGGAGCGGGCTCTACCCCCATGAAGAGCCCTGCAGGACCGTCAGAGGGGTCTGTCTCCCCCACCCTCCCCCCCCCCCCCCAAAAAAGGGGGACCATTTTTAGGGGAACCCTGGCTGAAGGCCACCCCACAAGGCCCCTGCCTTGCTGAGAATGGAAGGAAGGGGGGCCCCAGCCAGGAGGCCTCTGTACCCCGCCAAACAGCCAGTGGAAAAAAAAAAAAAATGAGTAGCATCCGGGCTGGTTTCTGGCCAGAGAAAACACTAATAATGGGGGCCCCTACGGAGAGAGGCTACTTATAGGGAAAAAAGTGGATTGGGTGTTTCCTGGGAGGAGCCTATCTTCCATTGTGAAGCTGTCCTGGAAGATGACCAGAGAAAACATGGAAGGATTCAAACCTACCCCACTCTATCCAAAACTATTAAAAACATTTTTTGGGGATGAACTTACACTTTAAAAAGGAAGCAAGTCAATAACTTACATGTACAGCACTGAAAAATAAAAAAGTATAAGCCAAAGTAGAAATGGGAAGAAACTCCTTATAGCCCTGTGTGACATGCACGGATATACGCAAAAACTGGCAGTGCCATATTTCCTACCTGTCGAAATTTGCCAGAGTGGGATTTAAATTCATTAAATCTGGACTCGTCGCTGTGAAGGTAATCCTTGATGGAACTAATCAGGTCAATGTTCCTCTGCTGGAAATGTTCAGGTACCAAGTAAGTATCGGGGCAGAACGATACCCTTGAAAATAGAAAAAAAAATATATTATCATTGTATGCAATACAAGCCATCAATTTCCTAAATGTAACAGACGCATTAATTCTGTAAAGAATAAACAACATGCGGAATTAGTACAGTATATTTGCAGTACTGCAGTGTACCACCACATTAGGGCCCTTACACAGAGGAACGCTACACAAATCTAAGCATGTAGAATGGTCAGAAGGGGCAGGGTACAATACTAGGGATGCGCCAAAACATTTCGGCCGAAAAACACCCTTTCGGCCGTTGCCTGAAATGGAAAAAAGCACCGAAACAGGTACCGAAAAAACCCCGCCCCTCGGTAGTTCTCAGCCTTACCTGAGAAACCAATGATCCCAGCGCTGGGCCTAGAGAGGAGTGAAGGAAAGATGGCCGCCACTCATCTCTATGCCATTGGAGGACTAGAGCGATGTAATTTCCCATTCCGGCCATTTTTTTTTTTTTTTAATAAAAGCACTAGATCAATGCTTTCTTTTTGATCCAATGGTTTACATTGTAGAGAAGAGATGTGGAGTCTTATTGACCCCATCTCTCCATAAAGAGGACCTGTCACTAATTATTTCTAGCACAAGGGATGCATGCATTTCTTGTGAAAAGAATAAAAAATGTTTTAAAGGGACAGTGCAAAAAAAAAAAAAAAAAAAAAAAAAATTAAATAAATAAAAAGTTTAAAGTGCCCCTGTCCCCCGTGCTCACAGGTAGTGGTGAACGCATACGTAGGCCACGCCCACATATGTAAATGGTGTTCAAACCACACACGTGAGGTATCTCCACGAACATCAGAGCAAGAGCAATAATTCTCACACTAGACCTCCTCTGTAACTTTACACAGCTAACCTGTAGAAATTTTTAAAGCATCACCCATGGAGATTTTCAAGTACCGCAGTTTCACGCCATTCCACGAGCGTGCGCAATTTTAAAGTGTGACAAGTTGGGTATCTATTTACTCGCCGTAACATCCTCTTTCATATTTTACAAAAAAATTGGGGTATATATTGTTTTTTTTTTTTTTTTTAAATCAGTGTTATTTTTTTCAAAAAAAAAATATATATTCATTTTTAAAAACTGCATTTTGCGTTGGCAAATCATTTGTGTTCAGGAGAGGGAGGTTTAACCTCACCCAAACATGGCAGCTCTTAAACACTGCTAAAACCCTGCGTGTACATGGACACATAGACTTTTACGGAGTTGAGTTTAGCAGATTTGACAAAAAAATGCCAAAAGCTTCTAAAACTCAATTTCAGCAGCTGCTCGTGTACATGAGGTATAAAGTCACTTTCAAATTGGGTCCATTAAAACCTGCCTTGTGGTGTGTTTTGAATGGGTCGCCTTACTGCAATGTACCATATAGTTCCACAAAGCAGCAAAATCTTAATCATTTCTTACAATTTACCAGTGCTGATGGCAAAGGTCCTATAGTAGAGGAGATAAACAGAAGGCAAAGTTTCATAACTAACAATATAGTGAAACTCCATGAAAAAAAGCTAAATATGAACTACATGTATATTTCCTGTTTAAACTATAAAAGGATGTCATTTTGGCCATTTTTGTGATATGTACACCTCTGCTAGCCAGCAAAATACTGCCACTGTCTGCTTTGCCATCACTGCTTCCTGGTTTATTTTATTTAAGGTTTATATATAGCGCCGTCTCATTTGCAAGGTTATTTATTTCAGGTTTAAAGCCGTGAAATTCCTAAAACACATGCAAATCCACAGCACCTCTGCAAAGTGTTGCCCATAACGGAGTTCAGGTCATTTGGTTTGTAGCTTTACCATTAAAGTTGAAGTTTAGTACTTTTTTTTTTTTTTGAGAAACAGCATAAAACACAGTCATGTGGAATTATTATTACAGGTACTTATATAGCGCCGTCAATTTACGCCACGCTTTACATATATATTGTACATTCACATCAGTCCCTAACCCTCAAGGGGTGTACAATCTAAGGTCCCTAACCCTCAAGGGGTGTACAATCTAAGGTCCCTAACCCTCAAGGGGTGTACAATCTAAGGTCCCTAACTCACATTCATACATACACATACTAGGGACAATTTAGACAGGATCCAATTAACCTACCAGCATGTCTTTGGAAAGAGGGAGGAAACCGGAGTACCCGGAGGAAACCCAGGCAGGCACAGGGAGAACATGCAAACTCCAGGCAGGTGGTGCCGTGGTTGGGATTCGAACCAACGACCCCAGTACTGCCAGGCGGAAGTGCTAACCATTTAACCACTGTGCTGCCCAAGTGATAATCCCAATTCCCTGTTCAATAATAATACAGTAATATATAAAAAATTGTGCAGCGCTGAGGTAATAGAATACACATATAACCTAATGTGTCAAATAAACGGACTCAGAAATGTAAACATATATAGTCCCAAATAAAATAATACATATAAAACGGTAAGGACAAGATATATGGTGTGACCAAGGTGACTTATGCTAGTCCAGATATGGTGTTATCCCAAAATCCAAGTGAGCGGCAAGCATATGGTTAAAGTGCGCACTCAAATTTTTTTATATATATTATTATTATTATACAGTGTTTATATAGCGCCAATGGGTATGCTCAGCGCTGTACAGTAGCAGGGGGACAGAACATGAGACAAGACGGTAACAATACACTACACGAGGGGTTCGAGGGCCCTGCTCTTTCGAGTTTACAATCTACAATCTATTTTGAAGGTTTGTGGTTTCCTTTTAGTGTACAGCTGCTTTTTGCCATCATAAGCGCTCGCTGATTTTTATACATCCAGTAATGCAGTGATGTATTTATCTTGTCAGGAGTTCCCCTCTAAAGAGGCTCTCACATTACACATCCCCATGGATACACTGCCATATAAAAAGGCTCCAGCAATGCCCTAAAAAACGGATATATAGCATGAAGGCTGTCACACTGTTCAACTCACTCTTTTGCTGGTTTGACGGGTGTTTCGGCAGGAATGGGCGCAGAAGAGACACTGGCAAAACCTGGAGGGGGTTTACCCACAGAGGACAATCCTGGAGGTGGTACCATAGAGGCCGCAGATACTACAGGAGAAAATCCTACAGAAAAAAAAAAAATATTTAAAATACTTCTGTAACCAAGTGCAGGGCAACTTTGTAATTTTTTTTTACAAACATAAAAATCTGCATTTTTTTTTACCAAAACAAAATGATTAAAAGAGGAGAAGTATGGCCAAAGTTTTTTTGGTCACACTTTTCTTGTGGGTCACAGAATTGCACTTTGGCTCTCCTGTGACCCAGAGTCAGATACAGTGGGCTATTGCCTGTAGTCAGCTAATGAGGCAGAGCCACTTCAGGTTCTGGAAGGATCCCAACCATAATTGGGGGGGATTCACCACCCAGCTGCCTGGTGGACAGCTGGCTCGATCCCGACCATACCGGGGGGATCCACCCAGCTGCATGGTGGACAGCTGGCTCGATCCCGACCATACCGAGGGGGATCCACCCAGCTGCCTGGCGGACAGCTGGCTCGATCCCGACCATACCGGGGGATCCACCCAGCTGCCTGGCGGACAGCTGGCTCGATCCCGACCATACCGAGGGATCCACCCAGCTGCCTGGCGGACAGCTGGCTCGATCCCGACCATACCGAGGGATCCACCCAGCTGCCTGGCGGACAGCTGGCTCGATCCCGACCATGTTAGAATTTCGGGGGATCCACCCAGCTGCCTGGCGGACAGCTGGCTCGATCCCGACCATACCGGGGGATCCACCCAGCTGCCTGGCGGACAGCTGGCTCGATCCCGACCATAACCGGGGGATCCACCCAGCTGCCTGGCGGACAGCTGGCTCGATCCCGACCATACCGGGGGATCCACCCAGCTGCCTGGCGGACAGCTGGCTCGATCCCGACCATACCGAGGGATCCACCCAGCTGCCTGGCGGACAGCTGGCTCGATCCCGACCATACCGAGGGATCCACCCAGCTGCCTGGCGGACAGCTGGCTCGATCCCGACCATACCGGGGGATCCACCCAGCTGCCTGGCGGACAGCTGGCTCGATCCCGACCATACCGGGGGATCCACCCAGCTGCCTGGCGGACAGCTGGCTCGATCCCGACCATACCGGGGAATCCACCCAGCTGCCTAGCGGACAGCTGGCTCGATCCCGACCATACCGGGGGGATCCACCCAGCTGCCTGGCGGACAGCTGACTCGATCCCGACCATACCGGGGGGATCCACTCAGCTGCCTGGTGGACAGCTGGCTCCAGCTCTCAGCTACACCTTCCCCATCTGCAATGAGAGCTGAAAGAGCAGAGTGGAGCGCAGTCACTAAAGCCAGCCATACACGGGTCGAATTCCTAAAGAATTTTCTTTCAAAAATCTTTTCTAAGAATTTTTGTTAGAATTTCGCACCATTATCGGGTCACATAAACGGTTGATTTTCATACGACCGTCGTATATGAGTGATCGGGCATGTTGAAAATTTTTTTTTTTACAAAAATTTCAAATCGATGAGAGAATTGTACGAGAAATATAAACGAAAAAGGAATGATCTGTGACCTGGAAAGAAAAGAAAATTCTTGGCCATTAATATTCTTTTCTGTAGCAACATGAGGTGAAATTGAAGGGTTGGTTGGTTGAATTTCGAAATCAATGGTGGCGCCATCGGATTACAAAACTCACAAAATTTCTGATTCTCTAAAGAAAATTTGTTTAGAATTCGACCCATGTATGGTCTGCATAACAGTCACTGTTCTCTACTCCAAGCAGACCAAGAACTGAGCGATCAGCAGTCATGTGATCACTCAGCTCTGGGACTTAAGAGTTAACGTGGAACAGCTGCAGCATCACACTGATGTTCCAGCATAGAGGCGAGTATGGATGTTTGTTTTGTTTATGCCACAAACGTCTCCTTTAGGCCCAGTTCACACTAATGCGGCTCCGCGAGCTGCATTTTACGTGCACACAGCAGCTCATTCATTGGAATCAGGGAAAAGGTCGCTGCATCATTTTTAAATCAAGTGCAGTTCCTAATGTGGGAAGCGGATGCTGTGATTTCCAGTGCGAACGGGTGCCATTAGGATTAATGACACCCGCATGCATCTCCTGCGGTTTTCTGTGCAGGTGATTGCAGCTGTGGAACAGGTGACAACCCGCAGCAGGAGGAACCACCTGCACAAGTGTGAACCAAGCCCTAAACCCCACTAACATTTTATGAAAGTAGAGGCCTTATAGTATAAAATGCTGGTATTTTCAATGTTTCAGGATATTTGCACAACTGTTTATCAAACACATTTTCAGTAAACAAAATACACTAAGATTTTACTGCCCACACAGTCATAATACTAAATCTTTTGGTTCCCAACCAAGTTCAAAGTGTTACTAAACCCAGGACCCTGCACTCATTATATCCGGTCTCCCCAGACCCTGCACTCACTATATCTGGTCTCCCCGGACCCTGCACTCACTATATCCGGTCTCCCCGGACCCCGCACTCACTTGATCCGGTCTCCCCGGACCCTGCACTCACTTGATCCGGTCTCCCCGGACCCCGCACTCACTTGATCCGGTCTCCCCGGACCCTGCACTCACTTGATCCGGTCTCCCCGGACCCTGCACTCACTTGATCCGGTCTCCCGGACCCGGTCTCCCCGGTCTCCCCCCTGCACTCACTTGATCCGGTCTCCCCGGACCCTGCACTCACTTGATCCGGTCTCCCCGGACCCTGCACTCACTTGATCCGGTCTCCCCGGACCCTGCACTCACTTGATCCGGTCTCCCGGACCCTGCACTCACTTGATCCGGTCTCCCCGGACCCTGCCCTCACTATATCCGGTCTCCCCGGACCCTGCATTCACTATATCTGGTCTCCCCGGACCCTGCATTCACTATATCCGCTCTCCCCGGACCCTGCATTCACTATATCTGGTCTCCCACAGTACAAACTACATAGAACTGCAATTATTTTAGAAAACTGCTAAATACCTTTTCCCATCAGCAGTATATAGCAGTCTTGTGACTTCTATCAGTGTTCAGCAGAGCAGTGGTTAAAGTTTTTAGACAGAGTTTTCTTTCTGCTCTAGGAGGATGCAGAACCCCCGACCTCTGTCTGGACAGTTCTGACTGTGCTGTGCTACCTGTGCTGATCATACGCACCCTCCAAAGACAGCATTTTTACACAATGCGGAGGATTAACCCCTTAGGTTCCACAGTGAGTATAACAAGCATGCTTTACTGCATATACAGACTGATTGTACTGTTGTGGGTTGTAGTAACACTTTAAGTGATTGGGCGTCCCTATAGCTCTTTACTGAAGAGAGCTTATATATATATATATATATATATATATATACACACACATATACACACACACATATATACACACATATACATATACACACATATACATATATACATATACACACACACACACACTATATATATATATATACATATACATACACACACACACACACACACACATATATACACACACATACACACATATATACATAAACAGTCTATAAATGGCAAGTGGGTAATTTTGTTCAGTACAATAAAAGGTTTACTTTTTTAGTGAAATAAACATGACATTTTACATATATTTACAATTTGCAGCCTCCTTTTTACTTTGATTTACTTTGGTAAGTTTGTATTGCAAGAAGACTAGAAATTCAGGAGAGCAAATTAAATAAACGCACAGGGACAGCGATATTGCTATCCAATCCTAATTATACACCACAGTATTACCCACTACCATAGTCTGCATTTTGTAACCCATTCATGAAATGAAGGCTGTAGTATAAATTCATGGATTGTTCATTGAGCCCTATTGACTTCATGCAGTTTTCTCTGTTTAAAGCAGCAAAGAGGACTGAATGCAGGAGAGCTGGTCATGTGACTGAAAGGTCACATGACCAGGCTCTCCTGTTTTTTTCCCATTTACAACTGTCCTTTAATTTGATTGCACTCTCCCGGCTTCGAAATCCCAAAGTCAGTAGAGCATAACGCACACCTAGAAAACACATCAGTGTGCTTTATAAATATGCAGAACTGGAAGCATACAAAGCGGAAAGAAAGGGGCATCAGTTTGAATGCTTATCTATCTCTGAGACACTTCACTTTTTACAATGAACAGGCGCAGCTCGCTGATCGCTGGGCAACGCAGATATTTTAATGCTAGAGGTTATTCATGCAGTCCAGTTTTCCCTGAATTCTCTTACCTGGTGGTGGCTTTGTCCGGACATTGTTATTCACCAGTGCTGGAAAGTCCTCCTCTGGCAGAGGGTATTTTGGTACAGAGTTTGCCGTTTTACTAAAACCAGGAGGTTCCCTTTCCCCGCCTCCTTTTTCTGGAGGTTTCCGCTCGCTAAGTCCATTTACAACAGTGTTTGACTTGTCACTGAGGATGGAAGTGGCAGGTGGGGTTGGCGTACGCTCGGTCTCTGTGGCATTTTCCTTGAGGGAGGAGAAGGTGGACCTGTCTTCTGGAAGCTGAGAACAGCGGGAGGATTTTGCTTCTCCACGCCAACCCGCTTCTTTTTGTTGAGCTTAAAGCTGGTTTGTGGATTAGCGGTCAGCAGTTTAGAGATATCCATCATGGTCGGAGCATTACGGAACTCTTGTGCGGTCATACCAGTGCCATCATCCTCATCCTCTGAGAAGGACAAACCTTTTTTTGCTTTGGCCAATCCCCCTTTCCCAATGCTTGATGCAGTAACTTTTTTTGTGGCCTTGGCTGAAGGTGCCAGAGCAGGAGCTGTGGTTTTTGTTGTGCTTTTTGAAGAGGGAGCAGCCCATGCAGAACCGACAGAGGAAAGTGGTTTTCCAGGCTTGCCTACGGACACCAAAGCTGGGAAGTCCTCCTCATGGAAGGCATTGGAGGACTTGGTGGATGCGGTATATGACATTCTTTCTGTATATGGTGGAACAGATGACGGGACTGAGGATACCACCGCTGTCAGACTAGGAAAGTCCTCTTCTTTCAGCTTAGCAGAATTCTTGGCCATGCTGAAAATTTAGACAAGAGCATGAATCATTTTTTTTTTTAAAACATTTTTTACACAAATAGTACAAAACTACGGGCAAATTAACTGCCTCCCGCTCGCCATATACGGTAATGACAGGCGCAAGGCGGTTCTCGCGTTCTGGGAGGACGTCATATGATGTCCTTCCCACTCTAATCGTGCATGCGCGGCTTTGGGGTGCTCTGTGTCCCTCGGACACAGCGAATCACTGATCAACGGAAAGAGCCAAAGATGTCGGCTCAGTCATGTGATCAGCTGTGTCCAATCACAGATGATCGCATGTAAATAGGGAAATGCTGGTTATCTGCATTTCTCCCTGACGAGCCATCACGCTGACAGCTCGAGAGGAGAGGAGAGCCGGTAATCTGCATTCTTTAGAGGGGACATGTACATTGATCATCAGGGCACTGATGATCAGTGTGCCCTGATGATCAGTGTAGCCCCAGCAGAGCCACCTATCAGTGTCCATCAATGCCAGCTGTCAGTGCTCATCCATGCCACCTGCCAGTGCCCATCAATGCCAGATATCAGTGCCCATCTGAGCTGCCTTTCAGTGCCACCTATCAGTCAGTGCCACCTATCTGCCAGTCAGTGCCACCTATCAGTGCTGCCAGTCAGTGCCACCTATCATATATGAGTGCTGCCTTTCAGTGTTCATCAGTGATGCCTGTCAATGCCCATCAGTGGAACCTACCAGTGCCTCCTCATCAGTGCCACCTATCAGTGTCCATCAGTGCAGCTTATCAGTGCCAATCACTGTAGCCTTATTAGTGCACATCAGTGAAGGAGAAAAATCACTTATTTACAAAATAGTATAACAAAAACTAAGAAAAAAAACTTTTTGTTTTCACAATTTTCAGTTGTCTTTGGTTTGTTTCGCAAAAAATAAAAAACCCCAAGGTGATTAAATACCACCAAGATATAGCTCTATCTGTCTCAAAAAAATAATAATAAAAATGTCATATAGGTACATGCATGACTGTGCAATTGTCATTCAAAGTGTGGCAGCGCTGAAAGCTGAAAATTGCCTTGGGTAGGAAGGGGGTATAAGTGCCCTGTAGGCAAGGGGTTAAAATGACCCTGTAAAAAAAAAAAAAACCCTTTAGCAGATGCCCCCTGTAAAAGAATGTGTTGTATAATTACCATTCTGGCAGGTGAAAAATTCTTTATTCGTGCAGGGATTGGACACTTCAGACACATCACAATGTACATACCCTGCTGGGCACTGGGGTGCCTTTCAGTGACCCCCTATGTCACTAGAGAACATGATAGCGATGAAGGGTCCCATATGTGGAAACAAAACTCCCAACACAGGACATGCTATCCAACTCACCCAGAAGTAACATATAGGTAGGACTCAGAGTTCCACAAATTAAGAAAAAAAAAAAATATATCATCTACCGCCTGCTAGACAGGTACATATTCAAGCTGTACTTTATTTAACCTAAATTTTTACAGCGGGTATCTACTGGATATGTTCTATACTACTGTCATCTCTTTACTGTAGAATTCACAAGCCAGTTAACCCATTATACAGCTCCAAAACCAATGTACCAGCCATAAAAAGCTGACAAGCGGGCACCAAGATTTATTCGTCTGTTAGACTCAGAAACGAATGCAGGCCATAGATGGGTCGAAAATCGGCCGATTTTCGGATCGTTAGTGGGCGATTTGGTCGGCCGTTTTTCGGTGTTTTGGCCGGTTTTTTTTTTCGGTAAAGTTGGAAAAAAATCGGCCGATTTTGCCGATCGGCCGATTTTCGCGGCAGTAATGGGCAAATCGGCCGATTTTTTACTGATAAAAAAATCTGCGCATGAGCAGTGACCTGCAAGAGGAAGACAAAAAGAAGAAAAATAAGAAGAGGATGAAGAAGATGATGAAGAGGAAGAAGAAGTAGAAGAAGAGGATGAAGATGATGATGAAGAGGAAGAAGAAGTAGAAGAAGAAGACAATGATGAAGAAGGAAGAAGAAGTAGAAAGAGATGAAGATGATGAAGAGGAAGAAGTAGAAGAGAAGAGGATGATGATGATGAAGAGGAAGAAGTAGAAGAGGATGAAAGATGATGAGATGAAGAGAGAAGAAGAGGAGTAGATGAAGAGAAGAAGTAGAAGAGGAGGATGATGATGAAGAGGAAGCAGAAGAAGAAGAAGAGGATGAAGATGAAGAGGAAGTAGAAGAAGAAGTAGAAGATGAAGAGGATAGAAGAAGAAGTAGAAGAAGAAGTAGAAGAAGAAGAAGAGTAGAAGAAGAAGAGGAAGAAGATGATGAAGAAGAAGATGAAGAGGATGAAGAGGAAGAAGAAGTAGAAGAAGTAGAAGAAGAAGAAGAAGATGAGAAGAAGAAGAAGAAGAAGAAGTAGAAGAAGAAGAAGAAGAAGAGAGAAGAAGAGGAGGATGATGAAGAAGAGTAGAAGAAGAAGAAGAAGAAGAAGAGGATGAAGAGGAAGAAGGAAGAAGAAGAAGAAGAGATGATGATGAGAGGAAGAAGAAGAAGAAGTAGAAGAGGATGATGATGATGAAGGAAGAAGAAGAAGAAGAGGATGATGATGACGACGAAGAAGAGGATGATGATGATGATGATGAAGAAAAAGAAGAAGAAGAGGATGATGATGAAGAAGAAGAGGATGATGATGAAGCAGGAGAAAAAGAATGAAAAATTAGAGGAATTCCAGTACGGCAAAAAGTGTCCCTGCAGAGAGCTCCGCTATTTCTTTGACAGTTCTCTGACAGTTCCTTGACATTTACAGCGGTTGCAACATTGTATCTATTTGTTTCCGAATAAAAACATCTGTATCCTAAATGGAAACAAATAGATACAATGTTGCAACCGCTGTAAATGTCAAGGAACTGTCAGAGAACTGTCAAAGAAATAGCAGAGCTCTCTGCAGGGACACTTTTTGCCGGCTCTAGACGGGATGAACATCGGACCGATTTTTTTTTACCATTGATGGTAACGTTGGCCGCTTGAACGACCGATTTTTCGTTTTTTAAAAGAAAAATCTGCCGTTTTTCTCCCCATCTATGGCCTGCATAAGACTACATACACAGCACAGTTATGTTAAAAAGGATCCAGTTTTCATTATCTGAACTGAAAATGAGAACCAACTTTCTTACCTTAGCAAAGGAGTGGCCACAGCTGAGCCGATGGCAGGGAAGTCCTCCTCTCTCAAGACACCATTAGATATGCCAGTCACTTTGCTGGAATCACCAGGGCCTAGAAGAGGATAGAAGTGTGTATAATCATGGCAGTCACTGACAAGTATTAATAACATATGGTCAAGTGGTTAGATCAGGGTTTCTCAACCTTTTTTCAGTCAAGGCACCCTTTAAAATTATGGACAGTCCCGAGGCACCCTTTTAAAATTATAGTCTTGAGGCACCCCGTTCTAAAATGTGAAAAATGATTCTAATAGTTTTGTATAACGCAGCAACATCCACACATGTAAGACACCCAACATTAGAGGGGATTTATTCTTCCAAAGCAAATACACTTCTGCACACTGGTACTGACTAGTATTCCAATGTTTCTCTTCTCCCTCAGATTTTCTCCATCACTGAGCTAATGTGAACCCAGCACTGAGAGAGGCAGGGGAGGGTCAAATACGATGCTGTGCGGGCAGCTGACATCCTCCTTATCAACATCAACTGATGAGGTTATTGGCTGTCAGGACACCGGCAGGTAGAAGGTCGTAAGGGTGCCTGTGTGCCCATAGTGAAAACCTGTGGCTTTTGTGTAACTAAAAGGCAGGCTTGTTGACAAGTTTTGGGCAATTTTTGGACATTTTGCCAAGGCACCCCTGAAGAAGCCTCAAGGCACCCTGAAGAAGCCCAAGCCTCAAGGCACCCCTGAAGAAGCCTCAAGGCACCCTGGTTGAGAAACGCTGGGTTAGATAACAGGGGACAAACTGAAAAATGGTCAATTTCCACTTTTTAAAGGAAAAATCCGAATACGGTTGAGCAATACAGAGCAGCTGCAACCAAAAAATGTTATTCTTAAAATTTGGTTGATTGAAGAGTCAGAACATCCATCAGGTTTTTAATTTTTTTACCACTGGGAAGATTTCAGGAGAATGGGTAAAGAATTACAACCTCTTCGAGCTGTTATTGCTGTCAGTAAAGCAGAAGTGCGAGAAATTGCAGTGAAGATAGAAAAAACTAAAACAAAGTTGGCAGCCACTCAGATCAATTTAGAGCTAGCAAACAAATGTACAAGGGGGGGGGGGCAATACATGATCTAATACAAATGTTCTTTAGCGCATTCTCCAACTAGGCAGCAAAAAAAATCTAGTGAAACGGTCTCAATGACTCAGGTACATGTGAATAGGGATAAAGGTGATCCTTACTATATCCCAGGGTGGATAAAAATCAATGATTTAAAAAAAAAAAAAAAAAAAAAAAATCAGATTTTTTTTATTTAAATCAGATTTTTTTTAAATAAAATGCTTTTTGAGGAAAATATATTACCATCCAAAGGTTATTCCATCATGAAATAAAGATTAGTTTTTTTAATTATGTAGAATAAGGCTGTATATGTTTAATTTTTTTGGTAAATAAATTCCATGAATCCATTCACAATGTCATGCTCTTCCAGAGGTTTTTGTAAGATTATTGGGCAGTTTCTCTGCCTACAAGATATTATCACAGATGTTGGTTTACTTTTGCAGTTCTCAAAACTGAATTTGACTCAGCGGAGATCACATGCCTCTTCTTCACAGCAAAAATGTTATAACATGAACAGAGTTAAGAAAAAGACCTTCATCCGAACTTCTACAAACCTATGAATACAGAATCAACCCCTTCACTGCTAAGTTTCAAGAAGTTCAGTGAATAGAATAGAAACAATATTTTTCTGATTGTTTGGAGTGGAATAGATCTGCACAAGAAGAAAGTGAAACGAAGTGTGAGGAGGAAGGGCTGACAGTCTACGTTTCTTAAAATATATAGATTTTGTTTAGCCAAATTAGTGAACAAACATGGATGTTTAAGCAAATCACATATGCTGGAATGTTATTGTTTCAGTTGAATAAATCTATTTAAATTGTTATTATTAAGGGAATGATTATTTTTCTCCTTCCTAAATACAACAGAAAAGTTGTCCAAATATGAATGATTAACCTATTAAACTGGGGATAAAAAAAAACTTATATGAAAAGTTGTTATTCTAAAAATCTTCATCTACTTGTATATTAAAGTTATACCAGCAAGAATTAGTCTTTATGTAGAAAACTAGGATTTAAATCAAGCCTTACTGACTAGTGATTTAAATCGTGATTTAAATCAAATCCACCCTGCTATATCCTACATCCTAATAATATATTATAATGAAATAACAGTAATAAGAGTGTTCAATTAAGTTTATATATATATATATATATATATATATATATATATATATATCTATATATATATCTCAGAGTAAGGTTTATTGCATTAGAAATGGCTATTATTAGGCATATATATATTGATATATGCACTTTTATTTTCAAACAGATATAATCAGTTATATTATATCAGTCAAATCTCTGAAGAAGCCCGTGAGGGCGAAACATGTAGGGAGTAACTACATTTACCTAACCAAGTTTGAATCTCAGTTGGTATTCTTAGAACTGAAATTGTTTTTATGTTTCTGTATTTTATCCTTTCTTGTGTTTTTTACAAAAATACGAAAGAAAAATTATATAACAGTCATGGCCGAAATTTTTAATGTGTGGTATTCCTGTCCATGCACCCTGAAAGTCCCATCTTCTCTATTGCACCCTATAACTTATATTCAGTTGTTTTTGTGTATTCAGCTACATTTGGCACATGTTGGTCCACTGTACCATTGGCGTGCGAAGTATTAATGCACCTTTGATACTGATGACGTAAAATGTTGCAGACTGGTCCACTATACATCATAACTGTTGTCAACTGCTAAGCAATGAAGGGTGTAGCATGTACTATAGAAACCCTAAAAAAATGAGAACTGTAATCAATGTAACCAGAGCATCTGATGGGCAGGGCATGGGATAACAAAACATGTGCTCTGTAACCAGTAGATGAATGTGCTTAGGAAAAAGCTCTATCTTGGTGTTCCAGAAGGCTTTTGGCTGATCAAGTTCTATTTTGTTGCTCTCATACAGCTGTATTTTCGCTAATAAATATATGATTTGGAGCTCTCGTTTGCAAGGTTATTTATTTCAGGTTTAAAGTCGTGAAATTCCTGTAACCAAAACATGCAAATTTCCACAGCACTCTCTGCAAAGTGTTGTCCATGCAAAACGGAGTTCGGGTCATTTGGTTTGTAGCTTTACCATTAAAGTTGAAGTTTAGTACTTTTTTTTTTTTTTTTTTTGAGAAACAGCATAAAACACATTAGTTATGTGGAATTATTATTATTATTACAGGTACTTATATAGCGCCGTCAATTTACGTAGCGCTTTACATATATATTGTACATTCACATCAGTCCCTAACCCTCAAGGAGCATACAATCTAAGGTCCCTAACTCACATTCATACATACACATATTAGGGCCAATTTAGACAGGATCCAATTAACCTACCAGCATGTCTTTGGAGTGTAGGAGGAAACCGGAGTACCCGGAGGAAACCCACGCAGGCACAGGGAGAACATGCAAACTCTGCCCGGAATGGAGCGAATCCCATGTTCTGCATGCTGCTGTTTCCTGCAATGATTCTCCCTTTACGCCTCTGTCATATCTACCAGATATTGCACTGAAAGGCTATATTCTGGTACTGTATGGGATAACAGCAGCCGTGAAGAGCTGCACTGCCTGCCTGCCCCTTCCGCTCTGTCATTCAGGGACATCATACTACTATTCTCCCATGACCAGTGCTTTAAATGGGTGGTGGAGGTCCTGTCATTAATCCACTCAACCTCCATTCAAAGGACATGACTGGCGGAGTTGATGTCAGTAGCAGTAAAGAAGCAATGTGGGAGACCACGTACATCACGCTGGTAGAGAACGGTGCTTTGGGAGGGACCGTGCCATAATGTCAGTATGCTGTACACAATGGCACATTAAGGCAAATGTTCTCTTACCACAATGCAGATTTTAGCTCTGCTTTAGGGCTCTCTAACACCATAATGAGGTATTGTGCGCTGAGGTGCCTATCATTCTGAATGACATTCTAAACACCTCCTTGCCAATGGACATGTATTGCAGTGTACCATTACACACAGTAAAGCAGTCCTGTGCACTGTAGTGTGCTGCATTACAGGTACATGTGCCACAGCGGAGTTCCACCTGAAAAAAAAAAAAAAGTCAGCAGCAACAAAAACTGTAGCTGCTGACTTTTAAAATAGAGCCATTTACCTGTCCCTCGGTCCAGCGATGTCCTCACCACAGGTGGTTTCACCGGCCGTCTTCTCTCCCTGGTGCCAGCATCTTTAGTGTGAGCACCCGGCTGTGACTGCTTGCAGCTTCACAGCCGGGTGCCCACTGCGCATGCGTGAGAAGCACTGCACTTTGTGAATGGCCCCCTCGTCTTCTGGGACCTGTCACTTGTCCCTGAAGACTACGGGGAGGGGATTTCAACTTACGCATCTGATCGCCTAGGCGATGGCAGCAGAAGTGGGAGCGGGTACCTGTCAAATTCGGGTACCCGCTTCCCCAAGGTGCCAATCCTTAATGGGGAGCAGGGACAAAGGCTTAAAGCGGAACTTCCCCTTTTGGGTTGAGCTCCGCTTTAAGGAGCCCAGTCAAATAAATAGGCTGGTTTAATGCAGCATGCATTAATGGGGAGCAAAATGCAAGTTAAACACACGTTCACCAATGCAACTCAACACAGTGAAAGGACCCTAAAGGATTCTGACTGTGGGCAAATAAGGAAAAACCAAAAGAGGAAATTTTGGCGGTTTGTGTAACATATCAGAACTAACATGGCAAATGAGCTATGCTCACCTGCAGCTTCAGTGGGGGGTTTTGGAACAGCCTTAGGTCTGCGCCCCTCGTCAGGATCCCGAGCCTCCTCTTTCCTAGATTTTGAAATCTCAGAAACATCCAGTGCTGGTTTCCTCCCCATCTCTTCCTGTCGCCTGGCTGCTACGGAGGCTCTTACAGCGGCTGCCACCTCCCGATCTTCTTCTTCCCTGCCAAAGCCACAAACAAGTTAGAAACAAATTCGCTAGGATCTCAGTTAGTTTACCTTCAATTAATAGATCTAAAAGTAGAAGTCACTGCGCACCGTTTATATCTCCAGCTCCCTCTTTTGTTTTGCTGCCCTCCACGTCCTCTCATCTGCCTGTTATATCTGTCAACCTCTTCATAGTCGTCTCCTCCTACCATCGCTAGAAAACAGCACAAATAATGGTTAAAAAATGTACATAAATAAAGGAGAGACGTTATATGTCTTTAACCACTTGCCCTCCAGAGGATCAACCCCCCTCCCTGACCAGGCCATTTTTTTGCATTATGGCACTGCAATATTTTAACTGACAATTGCGCAGTCATGCAACGCCGCACACAGATGAAATTTACGTCCTTTTTTTCCTACGAATTGAGCTTTCGTTCGGTGGTATTTGATCGCCTGTGCGGGTTTTATTTTTCGCACTATAAGCAAAAAAAGACCAACAATTTTGAGAAAAATAATTTAACAATATAAAAATAACAATATTTTGGACTTTTTCCTATTAAACATGTCCAGAAAATTTTTTTTTTAAAAAATAAAATTTCGTCATAAATTTAGGCCAAAATGTATTTTTGCTAAACAAAATCCCAATACGTGAAAATCAATTGGTGTATGTGAAAGATATAGCGTTTAAAAATGGCGGTATATGGATTTTTTTTTTCCCCCCTACTAGTAATGGCGGCGATCAGTGACTTATAGCGAGACTGCGGCAGGCATTCTGACACTGGAACTAACTTGGTGTCACTGACATCCCCAGTGACACCAATACAGTGATTAGTGCTAAAAAAAACAGCAATAACACTGTACTAATGGCACTGGGCAGGAAGGTGTTAATGTGAGGGGCGATCAAAGGGTTAACTGTGTGTAGGGAGTGTTTTACTAGGGGTCAGGGGGTGTGTGCTTCACTGTAAGCACACTGATAGGGATGGCTGTGCTGTGTAGTGTGCCCGAGCTGACAGGGAGGAAGACTGTCTGTGAACAAAACAGTCTTCCTCCCCCATCGGTGATGGTCGGTAATCACCGTGCGCCGGCGGGAAATCACCGGCTGGGACCCGACGACTGACATCCGCAAATGGCGACTCAGGTAGGGCTCACGCATGCCCCCTACCTGGAATAGCAAAATCATATTTATATATATATATATATATATATATATATATATATATATATATATATATATATACACACATACACACACACACACACACACATATATACACATATATATATATATATATATACACACATATACACACACATATACACACACACACACACGTTTTTGCGCACCCGCAGTATATCTGCTATACGGCGGCAGGTAAGCGGTTAAAAATTAACTAGAGGCAAACAGCTAAATGGGGGGGGGGGCAGCTGTTATTCCTGCTAAAGGATTGTATTTCTATCTAGGCCTGAGATTTACACAACTCTGTCACACAGCACAGTCCTGTCTGGCAGGGCATGAAGCCTGATTTCTCTCTGCTGCAGTCAAATAACACTTACAGGTCTTGTCCCCTCTCCGACCTGTGACTAAACAGTGAAAAGAGAAGCAGCACACTAATGAGCTACATTCTCTGCCACTGTGTACCAGACAATAGAATGGAGTTGGGAAAAATCTTCCAATGAAAAATAGTATAGTGAATGGACTTGTAGCAAGAGTCTAGTGGTACTGGCTCTTAGGAATGACATTTATGACCAAGTTTAGTGAGTTGCAATATATATGGTTAGATTTACTAAAACCGGAGAGTACAAAATCTGGTGCAGCTGTGCATAGTAGCCAATTAGCTTCTATCTTCAGCTTATTTAATTAAGCTTTGACAAAAAAAAAAAAAAAAAAACAACCTGGAAGCTGATTGGTTTCTATGCAGAGCTGCACCACATTTTCCAATCAGCTTCCAGGTTTTTCTTTTTTTTTTTTGTCAAAGCTTAATTAAATAAGTTAGAAGCTAATTGGCTACTATGCACAGCTGCACCAGATTTTCCACTCTCCGGTTTTAGTAAATCTAACCCTATATATTGCTACTCACCAGTTTATAGATGAGGATACCACATTAATTTGTTTTTTCAGGCTGTTCTTTAGTTTCACCTGGTGATCCAGCCAGTAATATAAATCTAGTTTTCTGGTGGCTATGCTTACTCACAGCAGCGTTGTCACCATACTCTGCTCTCTTAATTTGGACTTCCCCACCACATAACATAACACATCAGAGTTGTGTACTTTACATAGGATAACTTGGAAAAACTGATAACATTGTTCAGTAAACAGGACGTTGCAAGGACACTGGATTTCTTTCAGGATCAAGTCATTTTCTGAATTTGCAGAAAATGTACTTAGCCAGAAAATGAAAATGAATGCAGACTAGTGAGCAGAAATACATTACATTTCTGCTCTTGGGGTTAGATACACTTCAAAATCTCTTGGTTAGAGTGGGAAATTGCTGAAATTAAGTGACTGAACATCAAAAGGTCCCCATTTGAATGTTTCCACAGTGTATAGTGGTTGACTCAGTAGGGATCCCATAAATCGTACTTTTTTTTTTTTTTTTTAATATCAAGGTTTTATTTTTTCTCAGTCTTTATTATGGGCATATTGTGAACAAATGTAGATAGTTAAAGAGTGGACTTGAATTTGTGGTTAGGTAAAGAAGATCAAAGAGATACAGAATCATAAGATGGAAAATTAGTATATGTGCTCTGACTCATCAGGCTTGTGACATGTCAAGGAGATAATCCAACAGATCTCTTTGTCTCATGATACCTTCAGCCCTGCGGTTATGCCGGGGAGTGTAGCTGAACTGGATGTCGATCTGACGGTTCTGCCTGGCCTCTGCACGGTTCTTGCTGTGGCAGGATGTCTTGTGGGCCTTGTAGTCTATTTCAGTACGGAATGCGTGTGTGAACTGCTCTGTGTTGCACCGACCCTCCTCACACAGGAAATGACTTTCACGGAAGTGTTCCCGTAGAAAAGTGTAGTCGCTGCAGGAGAAAAGATAACTTCAATTTTAAGACCAGACAATTTTTTTTTTTTTGCCGCAGACAGACAGCGCCAGGTAGACCTTTTTTTAGGTTTGTATTGGGGGGACCATGCCAGTTTCCATCCATGTGACACCAAGACAAGAAATCAACTCAAAAGATGAGTGTATGCGCTACTAAAAACTTGAAAGCAAAAACATAACTAGCTAGCTGAGGCAACACAGTCCTTCCTTTAAACATTTCACATGACTATTTTTTTTTAAATGATTATTATGGAAACAATGTCACCCTTAAGCCGGCCATAGATGGCTGAAATTTCAACCAATTTCTGCTTAACCCCTTTGCGCCGGCCGCACGCAGATGTGCGGCCTCCCGGCGTCTGGGCCTAGACGCCCGAGCGGCCGCACATTTGCGTCCATGGAACTAAATACATATGTGCTGAGAGCGCGCGCCCTGCGCGCTCCCCGCACACATGTGTAGTACTCACGGAAAGGTCCCGCTCCGCTCTTTCGAACGGGACCTTTCCCGATCATGTGACCGCCGTGACGCGTCATCACGGCGGTCACATGATTCCTAAACCACGCCCCCACCGCCCCGCCTCCCGACGTCAGAATCTCTTAAAGGGCCGGGAGGCGTCGGCGGGAAGGGGTTAAGCAATGGTGGCCCTGCATTAGGCTGTACAAAGGTAATTTAAAAGTCTACTGAGCTGGGTGTAAGACTATTGGCTGATCGTTTCTTACGCGGTCACTTTTCAGGTATTCAGGCAGCTGCGGGTGTCGAAGCTGAATAATTACAATAGATGTCAGTGGCGTTCCCACCATTCACAGCTGTTGGTGTGGATGGGGGAAATTATTCAGCCGGTGGACTGAACAAGAGAAAATAGAGCCGACTAAAAATCTCTACCTTAGGCCCCTTTCACACAGACTCCGTTTTGATCAGCAGGAGGATCTGTTTGCTGATTAAAGCATAGTGGGTGGATGACAGATCTGTGTCCGCTCAGTTTCTGCAGAGCACACATGAATAGAGCCCGCTGTGCTCTATGGGCAGCCAGGGGTAAACAGACTCCAGCAGGGGGATCAGTTTTTTGAACATTTTATTATAAATTTTCAAAATACCATTTTCCATATACAAAAGCTAACAAAACCACCATACTATGATACTCATATTTATCTAACAATATATCCAAACATTGACATTACTCTTGGTATCCTTCCCCCCCTCTCCCAACCCCTCCCTCCTACCCCATACCTCCCCAGCCTTTAAGCCCTCCCCCGCAGCCCTGATTGATTTCTTTCCTACTCGTTCTATTTATCCTAAAAGACTATTACTTTTTATTTTTTAATTTAATATTATATTGATCCTCCATGACTTCTTTTCCCTAGTACATATATTCCAGGTATGAATTTGACCTTTTAAATTCTTCCCACTTTTCCGGAAAATCTCCATCCTATCTTCCTCCATGTGGTAGAGTTCCTCCAATTTGTAAGTCCTCTCCACCCTTCATATCCAATCCTTTACTCTCGGTGCTTGTGGTTTGCTGATTAAAGCATAGTGGGTGGATGACAGGTCTGTGTCCGCTCAGTTTCTGCAGAGCAGACATGAACAGAGCCCGCTATGGGTAGCCAGGGGTAAACGAACTCCAGCAGGGGGATCTGTTTGCTGATAAAAGCATAGTGGGTGGATGACAGGTCTGTGTCCGCTCAGTTTCTGCAGAGCAGACATGAACAGAGCCCGCTGTGCACTATGGGCATCCAGGGGTAAATGGACTCCAGCAGGGGGATCTGTTTGCTGATAAAAGCATAGTGGGTGGATGACAGGTCCGGGTCTGCACAGTTTCTGCAGATCAGACATGAACAGAGCCCGCTGTGCACTATGGGCAGCCAGGGGTAAACAGAACCCTATTTCAGTTTACACCCAACTGCCCTTCAATCCGATCTGCCTAAATAGAAGGGGACAGATCCCCTTCATTGTTCGTTTTGTTTTTTGTTTTTTTAGCGGATCAGATCGGAGGTAGGTGGATGTAAACTGACTCAAGTCCATTTACACCCATAGGTGTCAATAGACTGTTCAGTCAGGTCGAAAAACTGACAGTCGAACCTTATCAGACCCTTTGTGTGAAAGGAGCCTTAAAAAGGGAAAGCTCAGATATTATAAAGGACAACATAAGAAATATTTTAGGAAGCTTGAGACAGATTATAAAATGACAGCCAAGATAGTAAGCTTTCCGTGATAGCATGATACTCTCCACCATCTTACACCACTTAGCATTTAAAACTATAAAGATTTGGCCTAATTTTTGGTTGTATTTCACATGCTTAATTTAAGGGTACCAACCTATAGTATTCCTGGGCCCCCTCGGAGTCACAGAAATGGCAGAAGTAATGGTCCCTGCGTAAATGTTTCAGCAACTCGTCATTGTCGAGATATCGTTCATCGCAGAATTTGCAGAGAGGATGACCACGATGGGAAGTGTCCTCTGGGTCACCATGGATACGATGGCGAGCCAGGTCCTTGCGGCTGTACCACTTCCTCTCATAGGTAAAATTCTGAAACAGAAGAAGGACTGTTCAAGCAATACTGACCACAACTTTATACAGTACAAAAGTAGTGGCTTATTTACAGTGGAAAAGTCACATTGTGGATTCTCTGCATTATTAATGCATTCAAAATCTATTCAATAAAACTGCATTCTCCCTACAGGTTTTAACCACTTTGCGTCAGGCCCATGTATATAAACGGCCGGATGGGGGCGGGTTGCCATTCATAAACTGCGCCCGCCATTTTAGCCTGTGCACGCTCCCCGAAAGCGCACGGCACCATGATCCGGTGCCCGCTGTGTCCTCCGAACACCGATCGCTGTATGGGACCTCTGTGTGAGGTCCCGATCATGTGATCACTGATTGGTCAATCAGTGATCACATAAATAGTAATAAACAAGATGTCACTTCCTGACATCATTGCTAACTATGTGTGAAATCTGTGAATGGTCACAAAGATCACATGGTACAAGGCTATTCACAACAGCCTTGAACCATGTGACCAATCACAGCTCTCACAGTATTTCTCAATGGCTGCAAGAATGCAGTCAGAAAGAGATATGATTGCTTTTACAGCCTTTATGTGTGTAAAAGCAATCAGTGTAAAATAAAACAAAAACAAAATAAATCTTCATCACCCTCCACAAGTAGTACAGTGTCCCTATGGTGACACTGTACTGTTGGAGTGACTGTATGTTAAAAAAAAAAATATATAAAAAATAAAATAAAAATTTAAAAAAACATTTTGAAAAATTAGAATTTTTGGTTATAAAATAATTTGGGTAATTTTTTTTGACTAAAAAGATAGCTGAATACATTTTGGCCAAGATGTATGAAGAAAGATTATTTGCAAAATTTTATAAGAAACAGGGTGGATAAAAATCAATGATTTAAGAAAAAAAAAAAAAAAAAAAAAAACTGATTTTTTTTATTTAAATCAGATTTTTTTAAATAAAATTATTTTTGAGGAAAATATATTACCATCCAAAGGTTATTCCATCATGAAATAAAGTTAGTTTTTTAATTATGTAGAATAAGGCTGTATATGTTTAATTTTTTTGGTAAATAAATTCCATGAATCCATTCACAATGTCATGCTCTTCCAGAGGTTGTTGTAAGATTATTGGGCAGTTTCTCTGCCTACAAGATATTATCACAGATGATTGGTTTACTTTTGCAGTTCTCAAAACTGAATTTGACTCAGCGGAGATCACATGCCTCTTCTTCACAGCAAAAATGTTATAACATGAACAGAGTTAAGAAAAAGACCTTCATCCTAACTTCTACAAACCTATGAATACAGAATCAACCCTTCACTGCTAAGTTTCAAGAAGTTCAGTGAATAGAATAAAAACAATATTTTTCTGATTGTTTGGAGTGGAATAGATCTGCACAAGAAGAAAGTGAAACTAAGTGTGAGGAGGAAGGGGCTGACAGTCTAAGTTTCTTAAAATATATAGATTTTGTTTAGCCAAATTAGTTAACAAACATGGATGTTTAAGCAAATCACATCTGCTGGAATGTTATTGTTTCAGATGAATAAATCTATTTAAATTGTTATTATTAAGGGAATGATTATTTTTCTCCTTCCTAAGTACAACAGAAAAGTTGTCCAAATATGAATGATTAACCTATTAAACTGGGGATAAAAAAACTAATATGAAAAGTTGTTATTCTAAAAATCTTCATCTACTTGCATATTAAAGTTATACCAGCAAGAATGAGTCTTTATGTAGAAAACTAGGATTTAAATCAAGCCTTACTGACTAGTGATTTAAATCGTGATTTAAATCAGTTTGATTTAAATCAAATCCACCCTGATAAGAAAAACACTTTTCAAAATGTTTGGACTTTTTTATTTATATAGCAAGCAAAAAAAATCCCAGTGGTGAATAAATACCACCAAAATAAAGTTTTATCTGTCTCAAAAAAAATTATAAAAAATTCATATGGGTACAGTGTTGCATGACCGTGCAATTTTCATTCAAAGTGTGACAGCGCTGAAAGCTGAAAATTGGCCTGGGCAGGAAGGGGGTAAAAGCGTCCGGACGTAAAGTGGTTAAGTTATGTTAACAGCACACCTAAACATTTCTGGCAACCTGGATCATTTGACAGACCTACTGCTGCCCTTTTATTACTCCAACATGCAAAGCTGCCAAAAACGCCCTCTGCACCCCTCTACAGCCACTGGAGTACAGCCAACTGTGGTGGGCGACATGGGTGCTTTTAAAGACAGTGAGGTCCAACCAATCAATGCATCTGCCTGAACACAGACCCAACTTTAACAGTGACCACATGTCCCCATCACAGCTGTTCTCCTATGTGGTAGCTGCTGGGAGGTTGAAGCTGCCCCCAGCTTTCCCTGCGACTTTGGTGCCCGTACCTTCAAATGATTCACACACAGCTTACAGCAGAAGAGCTCATGATGTTTTCTCATATGTTGCTCTAGGTCAGCAAAGGTGTGGAAAGGTCTCATCTCAGGACACATCCAACATTCGTGTTGCAGCAACCGCCTGCACAAACACACACGAGGGATGAGACATAAGGTGGAAAATGGCGTATGACAAAAAGAGAAACCAAAAAAAAAACAACTTTGTGTTACCTGTACAGAGAAAATACTTTGCCATCACTGAAGTATATATCATATTTCTTCTCACTCTGCATCTGGGTGGTGTTGATACTGGAAAAAGGGGACACCTTTTTAACAAAAACCACCTGAAAAACAAAAGACCAAAAATATTGATATAAAGAAAAATGTCTGTAATAAACAGCTGAGAGAAACAATCATGGTCAATGTACTCTGTCATGCAGATGCTCCGAATGAATCAATTTATGTGATTTTTCACTTTAAAGTGGAGTTCCGCCCTATTTTTCATGATCCTTGCCACACAATGCCCACCCGCAGAACAGTCTGTTATGAGATATTGTTTTTTTTCATTTATTGATTTCTAAATACCTTTTTTTGCTGTCAGTATCCTGCACTTCCGGTCCGGCCGTCTAGGCGATTTCGTCATTAGGCGATTCCCTAGGACTCTTGGGTTTTCCCAGGTGTATTTGGGAAGCCTAATGGTCTCGCGGTATTTCTTGACCGGAATGATTGACAGGTGGCCATAACAACGGGGCGGGATCTTCCGTCGCCACCTCCATTGTTATGCCAACCTACAAAAACAGTGTGCCGTCCTGTGTCCTTACAGTGCGCAAGCGTAAAACAACGGGACGGGAGATCAGGAGGTGCCGTCCTGTGTCCTTACAGCGCAAGGTGAGATCAGGAGGTGCATGCTGGGTAGACAGCTGCACCGAATCCAGAAGAAAGTAGGAGCTGGCTTCAGATGCCCACGCTAGTAATGGCCGCTGCCCGCCTGCCGGGATCCTGCTGAGGAATGTCACATTTACAAGTAAACGACATACACTTAGAACACTGTCCTCATTATATGCTGCAACTGAAAAGAATCACGGAGGTGCTTTTTGTAGAAAAGTGCCAAGGAGACTGGAACTCCGCTTTAACATTATTAATGATGTGCTGGAGATATTAGATATGGTTAACCCTACAGATGCCATAGCATCCAATACATGACTGGACCTGCCATGGCTTGACTCCACCCAGTATAAAAACCCCAAAAACGCTACAACCCACATGATTGAGGCATGACAGGGGTATCTAACTGATTGTCATTGGCAACATATCCACTTTGCTCCTCCAGGACATAGAGCCAGAGTGGAAAGCAGTGACTGACATTCACCACAGTCCGCTCTGTGCAGACAGAACTGAGCAATCGGTGGTCATGTGATCGCTCAGTTCTCGGGCACAGAGCCGGCAGGGGACATCTGTAGCAGTAGACAGATGCTGCAGCAAGGAGGAGTGTATGCAGGTTGGTTTTTTCATACACCCATATATCTCTCATACCAGTAGTGTATTTAGATTTTGTGCTGCCCTAGGCAACACAAAAATGTTGCACCCCCCTCCCCAATGAGAGAGCGACAGAGTTCAATAAATGTGTGTATGTATATATGATTCTCTCTCCCTTTCTTTCTCCTTCTCCCCTCTTTCTCTCTCTTCCTCCCCCTCTCACCTCCTCCAGTCTCTTTCCACTCCTCCAGTCCACTTCTCCTCTCCCTGCTCCCGGCTGTCCCCTGGTCCTGGCTCGTCAGCTGTTGGAGGGAGAGGTACACGACCGACCGTCGCTCTGCAACTGCCCTCCCCCACGCCCCACCACATCAATCTTCCTGCCATCCACTGCTATTCAAAAGGTCCCTTTTTGTGGGGGGGCGACCCGCCCAACAAAAATTGCCGCCCTCTCAAAAAATTGCCACTCTAGGCAAATGCCTTGTTTGCCTTGCGGTAGATACGCCCCTGTCTCATACAACTTCAGCCTGCTTGCATTTCAGGCATTCGTCCTCGGGTGCACACGGACATAAATATGAGCATGGTTCACTGTCCAGCTGCAGCAGATGTCAACCTCTCATAGACTTTACATGCTGCCACCAGTGGGGCTGGACAGTGTTCCTGTATCTTCCACCCACACTGGAGTCTCATGCACCAGGGCTAAACACCCAGTGTGCATAAGGCCTTACTGAAACCAGAGAACCCTGGACATCCACCATCATGAGAAGCAAGTCTGCCAACAGCTCCAAACTTCAACTATATCATTTGCTGCTTTCCCTGAGCCAAGCTTAAAAATCGATTGGCTGCAAGAGCATTCTTGTTATTGGTATTTGTCCTTCCTTATGAATAATCCAGTCTGTTTGCTGGGCCCGATGGATGCTGCATTTATTGCTTCCTCATCTATGAAGTAGTCAGTTCTTCAAAGATCAATATCATGAACATTCTGAGTAAATACTACCGAATAGCAACACTGGCTGACACAGCAGCTATAGAACTGCTGGTAATGCAGGCCATACATGAGTCGAATTCCAAATGATTTTTTGTCCAAAAATCGAAAACGTTGTTCGCTCGGTAATCCGATGGTGCCATTTCGAAAATCGGCCGACCAAGTCATAAAGTTCACCCCATATAACAGGCGAAACGTCTGTTGCTTCCAGGTCATGGCTCATGTGCATATTCTTTTCAGAAAAAACGATCGTACGATTTGACCATCGAGTCGGAAATTGGACGTTTTTCACGAATTTTCCAACATGCCCGATCACCGAAAAGGGGAGGAACCTATGAAAATTGGCCGGTGCCATTGACCCACTAACAGAGCGAAAATCAGCCGATTTTCTGACGATAAATCGGTCGAATTTCGACCCATGTATGGCCGGCTTAAGTCTAAAGAATGATTCAAACCAAATGCACTGCTATATTTTCAGTAGGAGATCTCACACTGACATTCTTCATTAAAAAGAAAATCCCAGCGTGTTTCATTCTTCCACCAAACAAGGTTGAAGTGAACCCTTGCATAAACACAAAGCCATGGAAATGAATGGCATGGAAATGAATGACATTGCGCTTGTACACAAACCCCAACAACGAACTTCTCTTGGTCTGTATACCATTAAAAATATAACTAGATCCAATTTAAAAATGCAAAAATACCTGTTGATCCTGCCAGAAAGCTTGTGAGCTGATAACTTCCTATGCTTTTTGCCTGTGCACATGGAGTGGTCGTGGAGATGAGGAGGGAGGAGAAGATGAGAAGAGAGCCATGTAATCCATAAGAAATGAAAGTAGATAGGGCTGACAACAGGTGCTTTGGAATTCAGAGCTGAAAATGCATCGTGTTGTCATTTTAACCCATTGCTGCTAGCGTCACACATATTTGTGTGACGATAAACGGGTGAAACATATAACATGTTCCAAAGGTGAACTTATCCTTTAAAATGTTTAAGATTTGTGTCAGCCATTAAAGAATAATTGCAGGTATGAATATTTATACGTCGTTACATTGGTTCAGTTTGGACCAATCTAACTCTGTATATACCATACCTGGCTGATGCCCCTGAAATATCACGGAAGTAGACACAACTACTCTAGTGATCTCCACTTGCTTCCAGGTCCTGTGTTGAGCGGCCAGCTTGGTTCCTTCTAAGCACATGAGGTCAGCCACTCAGCATGGCCGCTTTACAGAAATTTGAAAAAAATGATTTTAAGCGTGCAGATTACTTAAAATCCTCTCTTCTACATTTCCTCCATGAGCTCCCCAACATCCCCCCCCCCCCCCACCCCCACCACTCACTTCTGTTTCAGGGCCCATGTACACGGGGTGTTTGGAAAACTCTTCTGAATGATGGAAACTGACTGCTGGAAAACATAGGTTAAAAAACGGCAGTTTACCTGCATTTACATAACGCGTTTATGCACGTTTGTGTTTAGAAGCATTTTTAAAAGATAACCTCAGGAGACCTTCCAAATGCCCAGAATGCACTGAAAAATAGTGAAAAACTAACGATTTCAGACATTTTGAGAGGAATAGAGAGAGCAGAAGCAGAGAGAGCAGTATGTGTTGAGATGACCTGTCTTTTCTGGTTGTATTCACTATGGATCCCATCATAATGCGGCACGCTCTAACATTTTTTCCTTCACGCGAAACCTGGAACTGACTGCGCGGGTGTACCGGGTCCATTTGAATACATGGAAAACGCTTTGCATGCATTTCTGAGGATGAAAAGAGGCTCTGGACAGCATCTGGATATGGAACAGTTAAAAAATGCTTTTAAAACGCAAACGCTTATAAATGCGGGTAACCGCGTTTACAAGCGTTTTAGCACTTGAAATGCCTGTAAAATCAACTCCTGAACGCAAGTTTGGTGCATTCAAAAAAAGGACTGTAAACTCAACTGCCTGTAAAGGACGATGTGTACATGGACACATAGGGAAACATTAGGGAGAGTTCAGGGGCTGCTGAAAAAAAAATGCAGAAAAGCTCCTAAATGTCAGTTTATCAGCTGTAGTGTACATGGGCCCTAAGAATGAACAGTGCACTCAGAGTTTAGTGTCACTTCACCACAATGTGTTTCCTTTGCAGAGTGAATGTTCATTGGGTTAGCCAAGAGGGTGAATCTGTCTTCATAGCAATCAACCAAATATATGATAACAAAATCAATTTTGTGACTCTCTTTCACACGGTTTATTTCCGGTGCACACAGGATCACCGTATTAATAATCATTATCTTTGCTATCAACTTCTTTAGCAAATCAACCCCCCCTCCCCACAAGTGTTTTCTAATGCATTTTCAAGTACAGATTAATGATTTCTCAAATTATACAACTGGCCTCTAACTGACATTTATGAAACAGCCATTATACAAGAGTTTCACAATTAGAGAGTAGATATTCAGTGTGTTATTGCAGTGTAAGCGTCTGCTGATTACACAAACCGAAGGCAGCCAAATGACTCATCAACCCTCTTGCACACGGCCTCCTGCATCTAATGCGAGGGAAACGGATCTGAGAAATGTCAAACTTTATACCTTCCACATCCATTTCTCCTGTGTCTTAGTCCTCATGCACACAGGGCGTTTTTACAGCGGCTGATTTTGGCTTTTGGCGTTTTTTCTACAGTTAGTAAACCCCCCCAGCATGTTATCCTACGTGTCCATCCCCGGCGTGTTACACTGTTCAACAAATTTTTATTTTTGCCAGTTTTGGAAACAAAAGGATCCATTTCTTAATGCATTTCACATTCTGAGTTCAAATATAACAATGAAATTTGTCAATCGGCTCTAGTTTTTCTGTAAACGGAAAGTTTTCTACTATAGGCGTAATGACTACATAATGC